TTTTGGTTATTAACCAAATTAACCCTTATAATTATATCTGAATGAACATAGTTTGTTTTTGATTTTTTTTTTCATTGGTATTTAATCTTCTTATCACAGATTAAATCATTATATTTATAAATCAAAAAGAGATCAAAATATTTATAAAAAAACAGAGATGCACAATTGTATAAACCGAGTTAGTAAATCGGCTTTAATATTTTTGTTTACACAAAATATATTCTGGGAACAAATTCGAAATTTCGTATTTATCATTTAATATAGTTTTTTTTCTATAGGTTGATAAAGAGATATGTTATAATAACTGCTTCACAAGGAAAAACAAAATATCAATATATAGTTATTTAACAATTTGATATAAATAAAATTAAACCTTTGTTTGATTTGGTTGTCTTCTTGGATTGTATTGTAAACTGATTAGACAAATTTGAGATATCTGAAAATAATATTCTTGATTAAACTATTTTTCAAACTTATCATTAGCTCAGATGTGGATTTATATTAATATCCTTGGTTTTATTCACTTGTATGTTAGATTTAATATTTTAAAAAGGCTGCAAGAATGATAATTTGGTTATAACATAATATCTTGTTAGAATTAATAATCTGATTTTTTGTGGTGTTGGTGTCCATAAGAATTTTCAAAAGTTATTTTTGACTTTTGATCACAATAACATGTGCCCATAATTATCACTTGATTCACATCTCACCCAATCCAAGAAACAATAAGAACATACATTTTTTTTTTTGTCAAAGAATAAGAACATACATATTTAATTGTTTATTACCGACATAAAAACGAAAGCGAAACGAAAGTTCGTCCAAATTAGAAAGCGAAGCAGAAAACGACACCGTTTTCCAACTGCTCTGTGATGTAACTGTGCTGGTGAATGTGGTTTGCGAGTTTGTCTGACGTTAATCTTGAATCCGACATTTAGCTGGACCCAATCCCACGTGGCTGTTGAAGAGTGGCGATTGTTAAGCCGTAATGCGATTTTTCTAACTAACAAAACGTGTTTATATTTTATAATTAGTGTATAGTTTTTCCAAATTATTTCACAACCTAAGTCATTTAAACAAAATTTAATTTTTTG